TAAATGTAAAATTTTGCAAGAAATTTTTTTTATTAAGACACCAAAGACGGTTTCATAAGCAAAATTTTGAGTTATTAACGGTTTTTGAAAAAACGAACATTTGTTTTGAATTTTCCTGTTTGTGCTATGTTACACCTGATCTTGCAATATTATTGGATAAAGATCATGTGATTGCACTCTTTTTCGCCACCACTAAGCTACTTGATATATCTTTAGCTTCTATTTTTAAAATAAATTCTATTATTGCAAGCGCTCTGCTATTTTCATGCTTAATATACATATCTTCTATCTCTCCTAATTTTTTACAAATATACTTGATTTTTTGTGTCTTTATATCTACTGGTAAATCTCAAATTGTAATGCAATCTATGTTTATACGCCTTTTGTAATCGTATCCTTTTTTGTTTATTGATTTTTTTTTCTTAGAGAATTTCCATTGCTGTTAAGATTGTTTTTTCCTTTGTTTACCCAAAGTTTTCATTTCTTTTATAAGAATACTATTTTCCCTTTAGCTTTTTGTCTTGGCTACCTCACTTCGCTTTGGTATCTTTTCTCTCCTCCGGAATTAAAATCAACCAGTCATCTTCTTTTTTCTTAATTCTATCGATTGCTAAGTTTCTTCTGAATTCATAATCAAAGGTTACTTCTACCCAAGTATTTCCATTTTTGAATTTTTCTTTAACTTTTTTGATGTGTTTATTTTCACTATGAATTCTTTTAACATACCCAGCTTTTTCTTCTGCTAAGCTTCCTGGAAAACTATACACTGAGACATTCGCCAAAAATATTTGTCTGTCTTCACATAATCTATTTTTTGGTGACCAGATACTTTGTTCTAAAGTAGTTGTAAAGATTTGTAGATTACTCTCTTCTGTCAGAAGAAACTAATAATACTAAAAAAAATCAAATTAGCCAATTATACAGTATAAATACAAACATTTGGATATTGTCTAATAGACATTGTTTAACATCTGATTAATTTGTAATTGAATATAATTATTAACTAATCAAATGCTTAAAAATTAGACAATATCTGCATTCACTATGAATCATTTAAACAGTATTTGATAAAAATACAAACATTGTTCAAATGTCTAAATAATTTACATAAACAATATCTGTGTACATCACTACAGTATAATATATACTATACTGTAAAAGTAAAATCACCTTAACATCAAAAAAAAAAATCTTTTACTGTATAAACAAACTTGCTATCAATAAAACTTTTAAAAAACACCAAAAAGCAAATATACTGTATAATCAAGCTTTTTAGTAAACTCTTTTGTACTTTCAATATCCAAATCAAAAAGATATTTTAAAAACAACGTCACTGTGAATCTCTAGGCAAACCGCATCAAAAAAATAATTCTAATGCGCCAAAGAATGGCTAAAGCCAAATACATTACAAAATTACCCAAATTGTCTGATTTTAATTAAAATCGAAGATTGGGGTTAGATTAAATAGTTTATATAGTAAAATCGCTTTTAGGGTAATCCCGTGATATATCTTACTTCGGCAGTAGACAACACAGATCACGGATCAGTACGGTCAGCCAATCAAAATCCATAATTTGCGACAGCTACCTAAAATCACTCTCTGACTCTTCGGTTTTCGGACAATAACAGATCATTGCGCAAAAAGTAATAATCTCTACGAATAATAATAATTACGTAATCGAACATGTGATTATATGATTATATGGGTGCACCGTGCACAATTTATAAAAGCCTAATTTATATTTATCAGTGGTAAGCTTCGGCAACTTCAAGTACAATCCATTTATCATTCTCAATCAGCTTCAAAACACCACGATCCTCCCAGAAACCAATTTTTCCTTTTAATTTCGAAGGATCTATATTCATTTTATCAGCCAAAGAACGAAGGTCCCACGTATCTAGAAAACATAAATTGTTTATAACAATATAAATTAAAACTTAAAATCATTGACGTGAATAATTAACATCAACCTTGTTCTTGAAAGTGGTAAATGATTGTCGCATATATCGGAGCAACTTCGAATTCTAGCGTACGATCCTGTAATTCTAATTCCACGTGAACCTTTCCAAGTGATGATAGCCATTTTAATTCTCTCCTAGGTTTCAAAATTTGAAAAGCGCTTTCGTATTTCTGCATGTTCCTTACGTATGACAAAGATCGTTTGTTAGTTAGGTATCAACAGTTAAGCAAGCAATACATAATCAATTCATACTCTGATATAGGTTTAGGCACATTAAACTCTTCATTTTTTAGAGTAGGCCAAAATAATTTCGAGATAATGGAGCCATGTAACACAGACTGCAAAAAATTTTTTTAGTACTTCATAATGTAACGATTTTAAATACAGTAAAAATACATACTTCTTTAACATTTTCCAATCCGACTGCCTTGGATATTGATATTTCATTATATATATTAGTGTCAATCCTTTTGGAATCAGCAATATCCTTGATCATGACCTCCGTGGGTGCCATTTTTGCCTCCCCAAAACGTAGCTTAAATAATTCGAGTTTAGTTTGCTGCGGTGATTTAGAATAAATTAGATATATGCAGCTTGTAAAAATAATGTGCTTACGAGAAATACCTCTCTTCCTGTATCATAATCCAATTTCGATAACAAACAAGAAGCCATCTGATTTTGGATTTCTTCTGTAATCACATCCGTAGTGTCGAAGAGACTCACAAGTAAATTGGTGATATCAGCCGAACGATACATCGATGATTTGTAGTCTGAATTTTAAACGTCAATGTATAAGCTTAAATTCACATGAATAATAAGTAATTTGAAAATAAGCACGACCAGGGCCAGCGTCCATTGGATCAGGCACCCAATTATCATCAGAGACACCATAATCATCGCGATCTTCAATAGGATTTTCCGTATGTCCAAGCTCCTCAAC